AATTCCCCTCTTGGACATACACCCAAAGAAGGCACATTCATACAAACAATGACATATGTTCAACTATGTACATAGAAGCATTGTTTGTAATAACCAGAATGTGGAAGCAGCCTAGATGCCCCTCAACTGAAGAATGGATGGAGAAAATGTGGTATATTTATACAACGGAGTATTACTCAATGGGAAAAAAATGAAATCTTGAAATTTGCAGGCAAATGGATGGAACTGGAAGAAAACATCCTGAGTGAGGTAACCCAATCACAGAAAGACAAGAATGGTATGTACTCACTCATATATGGATATTAGACATAGAACAAAGGACTACCAGCCTTCAACCCACACCTCCAGAGAAACTAGGAAACAAAGAGGACCCCAAGAGAAAAACACATGGTCCCTTGAAGAAGGGGAGGGGTACAAGACCCCCTGAGCAAATTGGGAGTACGGAGGATAAAGGAGGGAGGTAGGAAAAGGGAAGGGGAGAAAAGCGGGGGGGGGGAACAAAAGGGATCAGGAAGACTGAGACAGGGAGGAATAGAGGAGAGCAAGAAAGGAGAACCTTGTTAGAGGAAGCCAGTATACATTTAGGAGGAGGAGGTCTGGCATTAGGGAAATGTTCAGGGATCCACAGGGATGACCCCAACTAAGAATCTAGGCAGTGGTGGAGAGGCTGCCTTTGATGCTCTGCCCCTATAATGAGATTGATAACTATCTTGGTTGCCATCCTAGAGCAGTCATCCAGTAACTGATCGAAGAAGAAGCAGGCACCTATAGATAAACATTGAGCCATACTCCTGGAATCCAGTTGTAGAGAGGAAGGAGGGATGAGCAAAGGAGCCAGGACCCTGCTGGAGAAACCCACAGAAACAGTTGACCTGACCTAGTGGGGAACCAGCATTGAACCAAACCAAGTCCTCTGAGTGTGGGTGCCAGCTAAGACATGGTCAATCAATGGGACCTCTAACAGTGGAGCCAGTGTTTGTCCCTAGTGCACAAATGGACATTGCCTCTGGTGGGGAACTATTGCAGCCCAGATACACGAAAGAGGGCATAGGTCCTCCCCCAAAGGATGTGACAGACTTTGATGATACTCCGTGGAAGGCCTTACTACCCTTGGAGAATGGGTTTGGTGGGCTGGGGGAGGTGGTGGGGGGCATGGGCAGATGGGATGGAGAAGGAGCTGGAATTGATATGTAAAACAAAAAAAAGATTGTTCCTAAAATTTAAAAAAAAATGGAAAAAAAGAAGGCCTCAAATTACTTGGTAATATATCAGAGAAAGTCAGCTTGTCTAATAACAGGGAAATACAAACCAAAGCCATAGCAAGTTTTCACCTCACCCCCATTAGAATGGCTATTACAAAAGGCAAAAATTACAAATATAGTAAGAAGGTGGAGTGTTGCTGACAAGTTTCCAGGCTCATCAAAAATTTAAAAATACAAGTACTAAATAGTCACCCAATGCCATTGCTGTGTATAGAATCAAAAGATACAAGACAATATGTTTAAAGGGCACCGCCACTCTTGTTTACTGCATTATTTACAGCAGCCAAGGGTGAAAACAACTTCAACTGATGAGCGAAGACAATGAGGTGTGGATACATCCATAATTCAGATACAAAAAAGAATGAGATCCTGTTATTTCTGTCAATACGGCTAGAGCTGGAGATCATTAAGAGGAAAAGAGCAAGTATTAAAAATAAAGACGATATGATCCCATTTCTGTGCAATGTATAAGCAGAGTAGATTTGGTCGCCAGATGCCTATGAGGGTTGGGGAGAGGCTGAATGGAAAGGTTGATCACCAGGCACTGTTTTAATTAAAAGCAGGAATTTCTATGTGCTATTGCACAGTAAGATGACTATAGATACTGTGTACATGTTTACAGAAGCTACAAAGAGGAGTTTTTTATTTAAATAACATTTTTTCGTTTATTTTACATACTAACCAGTTTCCCATCTCTTCTCTCCTCCCACAGCCCCCTTTTCCCATCTGCCTCCCCTCCCCATTCACTCCTCCTCCATCTCCATTCAGAAAAGGCTAGGCCTCCCATGGGCTTGCACAAAGCATTGCCTATCAAGTTGAGGCAGGACTGAGCTCCTCCCCTTATGCGGAAGTGGGACCAGGTAATCCAGCATGGCGAACAGGTTACCAAAAGCCAGCTAAGCACGAGAGAGAGGTCCTGATCTCACTGTGAGAAGCCTTACTAAGAAACCAAGCTACAGAATTGTCACACATATGCAGAGGGCCTAGCTCAGTCTCATGCAGGCTCCCTGACTGTTGATCCCGTGTCCAAGAGCTCCTGAGAGCTCAGGTCAGCAGTCTCCGCGGGTTCCCCCATCATCACCCCCGTGGCTGGTACAATCCTTCCTCCCTTTCTTCCACAAGACTCTCGGAGCTCAGCACAGTGCTTGTCTGTGGATCTCTTCCTCTGCTTCCATCAGTTACTGGATAGAGTATCTCTGGTGGTAATTAGGGAAGTCATCAATCTACTTACAGAAGATGACCAGTTCAGGCATCCTCTCCACCATTGCTTGGAGTCTTAGTTAGGTCATCCTTGTAGGTTCTCGGGGGTTTCCCTACCACCAGGTTTCTGCCTAACCCCCTCTCCATCCTGCCTCCCACCTGCTTCCCGCACACAGCCCACCCAACCCACTCCCTCTCGTTCCCATCCCTTCATTTCCTCAGGAGATCTTTTCTACTTCTCCTTCCCAGGGAAATCCATGCATCCCCAAAGAGGAATTCTTAATTCGTTTACCCTAAAGAAATGATAAACATTGAGTCACTAGATGCGTTTAACCTGACTTTTGAATAGCACACTATGTTCAAGTACAGAAACATTACATGGCACTGCATTAATATGTACAATGCTCCCATCTTTATCTAGCCATTAAAATTTTAAATTCAAATCTGTCTAATCTCAGGCATGACTAAAACCCACAAGTTCACCCTCTCAAGCCAACCACTATATGTTCCCCACCGTCATCTCAAAGAATCATGGGAAGAGAACAATTAGTGCCAGAATTTGCATCTGGTTGCTTTATGGTCGCTGTGGCTAAGTGTATAATGATCTGTTCACTGGTTTGACACCTCGCCACACTCTAGGCTCTGTGGGGACTTAGCCTGGAGATCTAACACATAGCAGATGTACATCAGCACTCCTCCACCTGCCAGCTGTTCAGAATGCTCAGGAGCTGCCCCTGCATAGTCTTACCTGGGCCAACGAAACTGCAAACACTACTCCAAACACGTGCTTTAGTGCAGCAGGCCAGAGGTGGTGAACATGCTGATCTATAGTCACAGTGGTCTCCTCTAAGGCCTGATGCAGTCCTAGGGGTCTCATTCCATTTGGCCCTCTACCTTACCACATTTCTGTTCTAACTAAACCCTTCTTTTCTCTGGTATTACTTTATTGACCGTCTTCTTCTCCCCTGGACTCTGTAGCCAAGTTAGCAAACTGAGTCCTTCAATTTACCCGAACAATTTCTAGATTCTTTTTAGCCAAAGTAAAGTTACAACATTGTCTAAAAATTTTCTCTTCTGCTGGCTGTCCCTTCTTCCAACCCAAAGACTATTCTATTTAGCATCCAATTAACTCTTCTGTATTCGGACTTTAAAAAAAAAAATCCTTCCTTCCTCAAACCTTGCTTTTCCAGAATTTGAGCCTTAAGATTAACAAATATCTATATGGCCCATATCACCCAGTAAACAGCTTTACCACACTCTGGGACTTGTTTGTGTAAAAACCATTCCAATTTAGAGGTCTAGTGATTTCTATTAGTCTTCAAATTATGCTAGATCCACCAAAAACCTATGGCATGCAACGGAAGTTCTCTCTTAACGTCTAAATGTGAAAACCAGGTTAATTCTCTCCTATTCCCTCATTTGCCATGATATCGAAAACTTTGAACTTATATATCAAATACTATTAAAACATTTTATAAAGAATACATAAAAGGACTTGAAATGAGTGCATGTCTATTCCCTAATGACCTAATTAATTTGTTTTTAAGGTACTAACATTGCTTTTCTTTTGACACAGTCTCATGTATCTCATGTTGGCTCATAGATTAAGTTTCTTGGAGCAAGAGATGTCCAGTTTTCTGAACCTGTTGTAGCCGTGCACCTCTAGGGGGCGCTCTTTCTCACAAAATATTAGGGACAAATGGCTGAGTCCTATGGAATGGGCTTTCTCTAGGGGTGTAGCCTCACGGGAAAACTTCTGCCTATAAAAAGTTCGGTTAGACCTGAAGTGTAGAAACTATGTAGGTTTAAAGTCTTTGAAGAATGTCTTCTATGAGTCTAGGCCAGTCCTTGCCAGAGGTGACAAAGCAAGGACCTGGAAGTTCTCCTTGATGGTCCCTCAGCCTGCCGAGCCAAGAGTGATGGGATTTGCCAACCTGCTCTGTTAACAAAGTCCATGAGAGAATCGGTATGGAATTAAATTGAGCCTGCTGCGTACCTCTTTCTCCTGGGTAGAAATTAGAACACCCAATACAGGCTACAGTCAGCTCATTTGAAGAGCCAGTCATCACGCTATTTGTCTTGGAAAGACCTCCAAAACGAGCAGTAATAACTGCGGTGCCACTCGGTGCTGGGATGGAGAGGGGAATGTTGGTTACTCGGATGTTTCCGGATCTGTGGTCCAGACTGTCCTAATGACTCTCTTGTCCTCTTAAGCGTGACCACAACTCCCTGGAGTGATGAACTTCCCGGTTAACTCAGAGTTTGCCTTCACCTCCTCCTTGACCTTTAGTTAGCATCTATTGACTGCGAGCCATTTGTTATTATAGTGCTGGCTTAGGAAGACGCAGTGACAGAGATGATCGGGCATCAAGCATGTTTCTAGATCCCCGGGTCTAGATAGGCAGCCACGTTCCAGGGCCGACCCTCACTGCTCTTCCCCAAGCACAGTAGCCTACCGTTTGCTAATGCAGGACTGACAGCGCGGCTCGCACTGCCCCCAAGGCCAGAGGAACCCCGGCTTAGCTCCGCCCCGCTCGGCCTGGGTGGCAGCGGTGGCCCGGGTCCCCAAGCTCTGGGCCCTGTGTGCAGCTGGCGCGCGCGTGTCTGCGCGTGTGTGTCCGCGCGTGCGAGTGCAATGAGGTGGAGTCCTACGCCTGGGCGTTTCCTTCCAAGTGATTTTGGTCAGCAATCTGTTAGGGGATCATGGAAAAAAATATTCTGCCTGAAAGGATGAAAACTGAGTAAGTACACAGAACTTTGAACTTGAAACAGTTCCATGCGACCAAATGCAAGCAAAACCCTGACAGTAACCACATGCGTTCCAACTGCTATTCCCTTCTTATGTTAAAAGACGGGGAAATGACGACAGCAAAGTGGCAATTTAAAACTGGTCGAAAGGAAGCAGTTCAGAAACATGAAAGGCTGAGAGCAGGGCGGCTTTAAAACCGGAGGGAAAATGAGAAACTGCTAGGGCAACCTGGCCTGCGCCCAGCTGTGCAACAGGCACTTCGCCTTCAATCTGCTGCTGCTGCGTCTTCAGGGCTGTTTTCAGACTCCAGGTCCGCTTTCCTGGGCTCTCTCTTTGCCCCAAAGTCGAGACAAGCTGAACTCTTCAGTTTATGAATGTTGTGGAAATAAGACATTACCGGAAGGAACTCTTGGCAGCCGGGGATGCGTTTGGATGATTTCTTACGATTATCGTTATTTTGACGTCTTAAAAAACAATAAATAAACGGGTCAGTCACTTTTTAACTGTCCACGGAAGGGCTCTTGTTAACCACCTCAGACCGCTGGGACCTGTGGCATGAATCTTTGGCATGAACCTTCGGAAAGTTCTCAAGTGGAGATGGGGCGAACTTGATTGGAGTTGTGCAAAAAGAAGACAGATGCGTGCCGTTTTCATGCTGACAACGTGGCCAGGGGCCAAGTGACGCTGGACTTGGTCATGGTCTGTCGACCGGTATTCTTTTGTCGCCGGCGATTTTGCCCCCGACCATTCCTGGTGGGTTTGGTGGTGGCAATCTGTCTCTTTTACCAGACCCTAACACTCCGAGGGACTAAGAAGCTTGCAGCGGAGGTTCCTGGGACTGTCCGCCACACACCCTCTCAAACTCAGGCTAGCAGATGCGACCAAGGATACCCGTGGGACAAACGGTGCTTCCTTCTCTCGGCAAATGCCCTGGAAATCAGGAAGGTAAGTCTGAGCTTAGCCTGAGCAGTCGGCCTCTCTCTCCTTTCTGCAAAACTAAAATTAACTTCCATGAGGTCCGAAAGGGAGTCAAACTGTAAACAGTCCAAAGTGACCTGCTGACTGGGTGATGTGTTACATAAGCGGCGAAACTTCCTAAACGTACTGGAAGGGTTCTGTCCTTTATCTTTCAGATGTGCTCATCATTTCAGTGATATGTTAAAATCTAAAATGTAAAAAATCTAAGAAAGATGTTTACATCAGAAAACAAAATCACAGTTTAAAAATCTAAAAATAAAATCCCTGCATCTCTTTCTTTAAAGCAGGGAGCATGAGAGCCAAGATGCTCCCGGAATTCCATCTCACGATCTGCTAAATTGCTTCTGAATTTGGTGAAGATGTTTCTAAACCAATGCATTCCTTTCTGAAGTATTTGAAAGAATAGTACTATAGTTTTTTTTTTTAAGAATAATTGGCATAGTGTTTAATTGTTCATAGAATTAAGGAAACACCAGTTTGGTACTGTGTCCATACCTAGAATCTAAGAACTCGGAAGGCAGAGGCAGAAAGCAAGTGCCAACCCAGTACGCTCTACATGAAGAGTTCTGGGCCTGTCAGTGTTTAATAGTGGGACTTTCCCCCCAAAGTGTGCATTTATGCTTGTTATGTTGGCTTATATTTATAATCCTAGCACTAGGAAGACGGAGGCAGGAGGCCAGGGGTTCAAGGCTAGCCTAGGCTAGCTACATTGTTAGCCTGAGTCCACCCTGAGCTGTCTGGGGGTGAGGGAAGCAAAACAAAGAGTTGGAGAAAAAGACATTATTCTGTATTCATGATGGGCAGATTAGTCTCACTGTTTTTATTTTAAAAGTATAGCAAACAACAGAAATCCACAAGAAACATAAAACGTCTGTTTTAATATTGCTTTCTGTCCATGTCTAGTTGCAAATGTAGTAGACCTTTCACTGTCAAGTATAATGAGGAAAAAGAAAAAAAAAAGTGAAAAACTAGTTATTTAAGAAGTTGTGAGGCCGGGCGTTGGTGGTGCACACCTTTAATCCCAGCACTCGGGAGGCAGAGACAGGCGGATCTCTGTGAGTTCGAGGCCAGCCTGGTCTCCAGAGTGAGTGCCAGGATAGGCTCCAAAGCTACACAGAGAAACCTTGTCTCGAAAAACCAAAACCAAAAAAATAAATAAATAAATAAATAAAAATAAAAGAGGTTGTGATGGAAAGCCACCGCATTTGAAATAGTATACAGCAAGATAACCTTTGGGATCTCTAAGAGGTACCTTCTGTCTAAGAAGATTTAGCCGGAGTTTCTGAGCCTGTTTATTGGTTTGAGCAGAATTTCTTCTTGGGTTGCAACATAGTTGCTGTTGTCAGTCCTACCACCTCCAGGACCACTGCTATGTCGGTTTGTAAACTCCTTTGTTTACTTTTCACTAATAACCCAGGTACCTAGCTAGATAGGTAGGTAGGTAGCAGGTGGGGTTACTCAACCTAAAAAGAAGTTGACTGTCACTGAAGTATGCTCAAGTGGTCCACATGACTAACAGAATGCCCTCCTGCATCCCACAGAAATCATTCTGCTTTTTCCCTACCATATACGCTCTAAATAAAAGCAAACTCAACACTGGTGTAATCATTTCTGAGGGCACAACTTGAAGAAGGCACACCAAATCACAGTAGATTAAGATGATGAGCTTTTGCAGACTGTCACATGGGAGTATTCCTTTGTTTGCAAAAATGTGAAGTTGGGGTGACCCATGAGTGAGGAAATAACAGCAGAAGACAGAAGCAGGGTCATCTCTAAAGGAAGCTGTAATTCAAGGTGTAAGGCTGTCTTCAGATGCTGCGAAATAATGGGAGAATGTACTTTTTGGTTTGTTTGTGTAATCTTTTCTTTGCCTTTTGAAATTTTTTTCTTGAACACTTTAAATTTATGACATATGTACATGAATTTTAAAGCTACTGTTTGGTAATTTTAAAACTACTTTTTTGATAGTTTGTAATTGCAATGTTCTTTAAAAATAGATGAGGTAAGTATTTAAACACTTAAATATTCTCTAGGAAATTGGGGTGGAAATGATTCATTAATTAATTCGTAGCCTCCTTACGTCCCTACTAGGCATTTCCTGATTCCAGTTTTGTTTGTAACCTATCATATGTTAACTGTTACTTGTGTACTGTCACAGAGAATTCCATTGCAGCTTTAGAACTCCAGATCCTTGGAAAACATCTGAAACTTATTGGCTGCTGGTGTAAAAAAAACATTCAGTCTAGAATTTTCTTCAACCAGAAGAATGCCAAACACATGATGATTTTGGCTCCCAAATGATTCAAAGTCTTAAATATTTAAAACATAAGTGAGATTCTAAATCGAGAATCATAGTTCAGTGAATGTGAAAACTGTGTTTCCAAACATTTGCTCTGTACCTCTGATTTTAATGTGTGCAACCCACTGATAGCAAGGAAGGCAGAGAGAAGGTGACGTGAAAGCCTCCATCAAAACTAGAGACAAATAAATCTTGTTTGTAATATATCTTCCAAAAGGTGTCAAGTAATAACCATCTTCAATAACTAAATAGTCTTTCAGATATCTAATGTGGAGAGAGAAATTAGTTAAGAATCTTTATAGATCCTGTCAAAAAAAATCATAAAAGTCGCTAATGAGTGAGACAGGTAGAGGTTCATGAAGGCCTACAAGTAGCTTTTAGAAATGATGTCTCATAGGAGTAGATTTTTAGTTCATTTGTACATTTTGAAATTTGTGATCACTTTTGTTGACAGATCAAAATATTCAGCTTAGCTGAATCCCTCATTGACTTCAGTTGAATCCGCCCATGTTAATTAACCTTAAGTGCTTTTAAAAGATTCTACAAACCACTGGATTTGACTATATAGAAAAGAAAAGTGTGTTTGGATATATAAAAGCTCTCTAAACACCAGAAAGTTCATGCAAACTCTTGCATGGATGTGTCTATACAGATCTCTATGGGCAAATAATTTAGTTTGATCAGATTTTCAGAACTAAAAACATGCCAAGACCACTGAAAGTGATTAACAACCTCTATGTTTCAATGTTTAATTAACAGCTCACTCTGTGTATATCAATTGGGTCTGGATAAATAAACCTAAAATGAAAAAAAAGTATTCAGAGGACGACAATAAAACAAACAAATAAATAAATAAATAAATAAATAAATTGTGTGTGAAAACATGGAAAAGCAGAGTATTTCTCTAATCACAGTTGTCGTTCATTGATGAATAAGCAGCAAGTATTACCTGGTCATTTTGGCTGCAATTCCTTCTTAGAAGAGACCTTCTGTACTTTATCTACCTGGTAACACAGGATCCTGTAGTTGGAAATATTTGAAGACAGTAACTTTGCCTTCCACACCTTCCCCATCGGGACCCAATTCAACATTAAATCTGTTCCCAGTGCCAGTGAGATCACAGTATTCGATCTGCCAATTTTCCATAAGGAAGCACTCTCCCCTCTTTCTGGCCAAATTTTAATTCCTTTTTCCATTTTTTACATACCAATGTGCCTTGTAAAGCAGATGTACTATTGTCACTTCTTCTGGATTTTTCTCTCAGCATTGGTTTTTTAAATATTATTTAGTAATCAGCCGTGTCTTAAAACCACTCCAACTTAATATGTAAACATAGCTATCTTGTCTTTGCTGAGGTAAGTTTCTCTGTAGATGATCCATTTTCATGGACTCCGACGCCTTCCCATTGCATAACACAGAAAACAAATTATAAACAGACACAATGGGTGATATCTCCCCAGCCCATGCTCCTCTAATGGAAACATGGCTATTTGAGGACTGTGTTTAGACTCGGGAGAGCCATGTGTTTCTGATTATCTCCCGTTGAGGCTACACAATGGGAACTACTATTCCTTGGACTGTGGCTGGGCTGTTTGCGTTCCAAGTCTTCCTCACTCTCCCTTCAGTTTCAGGGACGGGTCTATACCACTTTTACTACCCCAGGATCAACATAGCCCAATGTAAATAAGCAAATGTCCTCATTAAGCATATTCTGATCCATTTTGTTCGTATTTTTAAAAATAAGCAACATACTTAATATATGAAAATCTCTTTAAAATTACCTAAGTCCAAGTTTTGTAGCATCAGGAAGTTAGACCAACTCTAAGGTGCTGACAATTTATTGGAAAACACAATCTCAGGGATACTAGAGCAAGGACAAGATAAAAGAGAAAGAAGGATAGATGGAAAATCCAGTGAGTGCTTTTTCTGGGGTCACATCCAGAGAAGCTGTCTTCAGCTACTGAATCCCAGGCATTAGAGGCCAGAGGAGAGCCTGGTTTCCTCTTCTCCTGTTTTTCATTGGATGGTATCCATCCAATGGTACTGGATGTTCAGGGCAGCCAGTAGAGGTAGCTGGGGCCTCTGATACATCATTTTTCCAGTACAAATTGTCTGAAAAGGCCACTCCTTTTAAATATGCAATGTGAGTAAAAGTTACAGTCAGTGGCAGTAAGAATGGTGTGTATGTGAGAGAGAGAGAGACAGAGACAGAGACAGAGAGAGACAGAGAGGAGGGGGTACAGTGAAATAGTCCTCAGTTGTATAGACATGGTAATGGCACGAGAAACTCATACCAGCAGATGAAGCACAGCAATCTCATGACAACTGTTACAATAGTGGTAATAATTTCAGTTTTGAGCAATCCTCGGAAAGTATCTCCATGGCTCTGTCTCTTGGAAAATGAGTTGGCTTTCTTTAATAAAAAATATGTTTACTTGTCTCATGGAGAGCCCTACTCTTCAACTAAAAAAAAGAATACTTCATTTTCTCTTTTTTTTTCTCCTTGATCCCTTTTAATAATTTATCCATTCATTTTCATTCAGTGTGTAAATATTTACTTATACTATCTAGGCAATGAGGTACTGGTGACTCAAGAATAGAAGCCATCGCGAGACAGTGTAAGTAAAGTGCTAGAAAACACATACATTCTAAGATTAGTCTTTGAAAG